CAATTGACATTATTACCACTTGAAAAGCGAAATAAAATCCATTGTCGGACATTTACGGCAATTTTTCTCACTTGACAATTGTTAGTAACAACTCGACCCCAGCGCCACCCAGCGGCTCTTTTTTGCAATAGTATTGCCCTTACCAATACATATCTCGAATATAAACCAAATCGGATCAGAAATAAGTAATTTAACAATAACTCCATTCCAGCGCCACACGGCGGACCGGACTGTGAATCTAAACTATAAAGAGACCAGCCCACAAAACAATTTCGTTAAAATTAGTTCATCACAAACTCACGTGTATAAGGATTATATATACATACAATCATGGATGTATAAATATAAATATGTGGTCTCCATTGGAAATATAATTTGTGACATGATTATCACGACATCGGCATTTTCCTGTGGAGACAGGGCCTGATATATGCAATGTGAAAAATTCGGTTTGTATGGGTGGCGCCACGCCACCTTCACTTAGCGGTATGAAATATACTTTGCGACCTATTTTCATACCTGCCAAATATACACAAAAAATTTCATACAAATCTGTCAAGCCGTTTCGGAGGAGTTCGACCACAAACACCGTGACACGAGATTTTTATATATTGGATGTAGATACATATATATATGTATGTACATCGACCGCCCCGTATTTATTGTATGCCGCTGTTTTAAGTGAAAATAAAATTCATTCATTATTAACATACTGAAAAAAAAAACAAATACAATTAGCAAAAGAAAAGCAAAATTTTTTTATAAATTTCGCAACTTCAATAATTTATTTAAAAAATAGATGTCGACGAAAAAATTGGTTAACAACGTTATCGTATTAATTTCACATTAATTAAAAATATTCATCAATTTGGTGCGACCAATTACCTACATACATACATATTTATACGACAGATACAAATCGCATATTTATAAGCGAATTCACATAAAAAATTCAATTTACCTTACTAATTAAACTTAATTAATACGCAACATTTTCAAAAAGGCTGACTTCTTGTTTTACAACTAAATATTTTTTGTTCGTTGATGTAAATGATCCCACAGCCACAATGAGATACGATTTCAATGATTGCATAATTACATGGATTTAAATATGGGCATTTCCCCAAAAAACAAGCAACGAAAAAAGAAAATTTTAAAAATACATATTTCGTCTTTTATATACATATAAATGTTACACTAAATAATCGGTTACCGTTACATGCAATAAATTAACGATTTGTTTAGGTCGCTGATGCCGAATATATTCCTAGGTTTTGTTCAAAGTGACAATTTTTTGCGAATCAAAATTTATTTATGTAATGAAAAGTTGTAAAAATTCGATGCATCAAAAGTTTTTCGTGCGAAAAATTTGCTTGATAGGGGCTGATGTCTACCCCTCGAAGCTGTGTGCTGTGTGTGTGTGTGTGCAATTGCTTTTTCTTAAAATTCCATACCTTTCACTTAAATTTTTTTGAACAAATCTATGAAAAGGTCTGAAATTTTTAGAAAAAGCATTTGCTTAGATTTTGTGTATATCTACGGTCCAATGTGTAAAATGTGTAAAACCATACTTGATTGTGTGCGTATGTAAATATGTATGCACATATTGTACACTGCAAAAAATTCGATCAATCCAGGATGATCCCGGCAGCAATCGCAAAGGAAATATGTGACTAATACCACTTTCGGTCTCTTTATATCACTAGGGGTCAGTTATTCACTTTGCGCGATTGTGTTGAGGCAGATTTAAAAGTTCGTTTCCTTAACTAGTACGCTAAGTAAATAAGAAATTTTTTATATAGATTATAACATTTCCTTCTAACGGGTGATTTTTTAAGAGCTTGATACCTTTTTTTGTAAGTGTACATACGCACCCCAAGCATGTAGACCCTGCAGAAAAAAAAACTATCAATTGGTAAAAAATAACCTACTTGTAGTTAGCTTTTTTGCGGGATTTCTATAAAATATATAGCTTGTGGTTAGCTACAAAAAACTAACTTGAAACAAGTGGACAAGTAGTGCAGGAGTAAAGCTCGAAATTGTTTTCTTTAAACGCGTTTCTAGTTATTTCATCCTCTTTCCTGCGTAACAAGCTTATCTTACTCGCGAGCATACTGTGTGCTCAATTCTGCATTGTATGGAGTGAAGTCTTCACTTTTGTTTCAGGATGTCTTATAAAGAGACTAATTGTTCCACTGTATACCCTTTTAAAAAGTAAAAATTAAAATTTGCGCCAGCTGAGATTCAAACCGCCGATCTCAAGTTTGCTAAACCTATACTCTGCCTACATGCCAACGCAGTCGGAGACTAATTAATCTCTAATTATTCCCGCAAAGGATGAGTCGAGACTAATTGATCTCCAATACTACCCAAATGAGACTAGTTGCAATAAATTAATGACTAATTGTATGCCATTTCGGCTAGTCGCGAAATAGTCTCTTAAGGGATTAGTCGCATAATTTTTGCGGGGTAAATCCAAGCATGCACACATATTGGCTATTGACTCAATAATAACATGTTGGCTGTTCGGTTTTGTGGTCAGATGCTCTGGAGACTTAACTGTTCATTTGCATTTGTGTGAATTTGTGTATTTATTTATGGAAATATTATCAGAAGTCTGCTGTGGTTATTACACTCAATTGTGCGTAATCTGTTGTTTTTTGCTTTGTTCTGCATGAGTGCTGTTAATGTAAATAATTTTTATTTATGTTTATTATGAGAAAATTCTTGGTTTTCGGAAATTATATTTTAATTATATTTTAATAACATCCTTTCCTGCTAAATGGTTGAACGTACATATCATTCGGGACAATATTTTGTTACCTGGTTATGGGATGGTAACAAAATTTACCAATTCGCAGAATTCGAAAAGGGTTTAAAAATTATGAGGAACTTTATTTACGCGTAACAAAATGTTTGCTACCAACGCAAAATAGGCCTGTTAATATCAAATGTAGAAACTTATATAATTACGAGAATGTGCAGTATGACAGGGGGCCAAAAAGTCTCAAATGGGTGGAGGGGCAAAGCAAGAAGAAAATGTGATCTTGCGGTGTCTATTGTTGCATATTTCTAAGGGAAATATTATTAGTTTTATTTACTGTGGACTTTTAGGTTCATTGCATAAATATTTTGTCAACCTTAGTGAAATTTTCCGGCAAATAATTTTCTAGAACATTTCAACCTTCTATCCTGCAAACCAAAGTTCCCGTTTCTTAAGGAAATCTTTAGGAGTATCTCATCTCTGTAACGATTTTTTCCACGAATCTTTAAAGAAAATTATATGAATGTTGGACACGAACTCGTAAAGAAATTTCTGTACGAAAAATAAAGAAAATTTTGGAAAAATTCTACAAGTAATTCTTAACGCAGCAGCATTATTTTCATTGCTTTACTGATTTTATTTCTTTTTAGAAAATAAGGCAAACAATCGGATAAGATCTTTATGAACACCTTAAAATTTCTCTACAATTCAGAATACTCTGAAAAAATGGTTTGCCGGGTATCGACCTACGATTGTCATTTTATTCAAAAAAATAAATTGATCTGAGAATGCAAAATGATTTGGAGGGTCTAGGCCTTTAATCCCGAGGTGGAATCATTTCGCGCCGAAAATGCTGTTGCTATGCTTTATTTATTTCCCAATCAAGGTAGTGGTAGGCAAAGAAGATGTGTTTTTGCTCTTCTATAAGGGTAGAAGACAGACCGACTTTATAGGGGCCTGAAACAGGGCAGTTTGTAGCACCACGCTCCAGCATACGGATCAAAAAACGACCAAGTTGTGATGCACGAAAGATACGTTTTCAATGTGTTAGATGCACGTGCGATTGGAGGGCCTTATATGGACACAGATCACTATCTTGGGCGAGCCAAGATATGCACACGTCTCTGTGTAGGGAATGCGCAATGAAAGATTGAGGTCGAAAAGCTGAAATTGCATCCCTTTTTCGATAGTTTCGAACTAGTCCTGCATTCTATAGTTCCGAACCAGTTCTTAAATCGACAAACCAAAGTAAAAAGTATCATGATTTTTCAATCTTTTTGGTTCTTCCGTGTGTGCGACTTTAAATAATTTTCAAAGAAATGTTTTTTTTTTCAATTTGAAATTAAAACTTGAAACTATAAAAAGCATCTGCGAAGTGTAGAGTAAACATGCATTTGAACGAAAAAGCCGCCAAACACAAATCTATATAAAGTAAACAAGCCCCCGCTGCATCCATTCTTCGATAGTTCCGAACTAGTTCTAAATTCGACAGATAAGATCGAGGACGTTCTGCATCCCTTTTTCTATAGTTCTGAACCACCTTTAAATTCGTCACTTTAAATGTAGATTTCTACTGAAAAAAGTGAAATAAAATAGTTTCTTTAAAAGTACCATATTTCACTAATTTGGAACTGGTGGGGATCTAGTTACTATCGGATTCGTTGGTTCGTTTTCGGCGATAAAGATCTTGTACGGAACTAGAAATTTGATTCACTAGTCCGCGGTTTCCCTGCAGGGTTAAGCCGAATGTCTAACAGGTGGCGAACAATGACCACAGCTGCCGCATCCATTCTGTGTAGTACAAAAGTTATAATTTTCAGATTACGGACAGACATGGTTCGCAAGTGATCCCCATGTGTGCAGATGGAGCCAAAATAGAAAATGGGTCTTTTTTAAACAGTGTAGGGAAAACATAGAGGGTCTGCTTGGACCTGCTAGAAAGTCGGGGCGGTATAAAGATATGAAGGAGCAGTTCTGGAAATATTCCCTTGCTAGTATTCCAGTAGGCCGCCGATTAAAGTTTTAACCAGAACTTCCCTCGTAAATTAACCTGACATATGCAGATGAAGGTGTACGATATTTAGCTTTGGAAATTCAAATAACAAAAAATAATTCAATTCCCAACAATTTTCTATACATACATATTTTTTTATTTATTTATTTATAAAAATTGTTTTACATTATTCTAGGTACAGTAAGCCTTAAATTTCGAACACACAACAACTAAAGATAATCATTAAGGATTGAAGGCCTTAGGATTGATGACATGCGCATACTCCGGCGCATACCGTTTTGATGGACCAGGATATTTATGTTCATATGCGGCTGCAAATTTGAAAAGTTTGATCAAGTTAGCAATGAAATATTTTACGCTGATTAATTTACTAATCACAATTACCAATAATATAGTCAATAGCTGTACGCCAATCAAGCTCTCTCGCTGGTGCGGCCTCCGTGCGGGATAAGCAGCAGATGACAATCAGGCAGAGCGCGAAACACACTAATAATTTGGACATTTTGGGTGAGAAATAATAATTTACTTTTACTATGATGGTCGCGCTTGAACTGTTGGCTTGCAAAGTTAGACTGCAAATATGAACAAGCAAAGGACGCACGCTTTATTTATACGCGAAGCGATGGAAGAAAGCTACTATTTTTTATTTGCAGGGTTGCTGATTTTGTGTTTTTTTTTGTTATTAAGTGGGCTGATTGCAAAAAAAATTGACAAAATTCCAAAATTTGAAATTCTTGCTGAATGTGTGCATGGAGGAAACTTGTTTTATGTGCCGCAAAAGAAGAAAGATCACACAAAACTGATTGTAAAAATCGGGTTTAAGCTAGAACAAAAAAAAAGTGAAAGCAATTAACATTGTTCTAACCGCTTGAAATTCAGTGCAAAAGAAATTTAATATTTGTATATTTAAAATTATTAAATTCATAAATTAGACTTAGATTTGGTAATTAGCAATTGGCGTTGACTACCTACTAACTAATGACCGCTCTCAAGTTACCGCTCGGTGCAGTTTACGACAC